CCTGCCCTCCTTCCCTCCCTCCCTCTGCCTGCCCCGTCATGGGCAGATGTATTCTGGCCACCAGACAGACTGCACTGGCTCCAACTTGGCCAGTAACGCCCTTCCCCGGTGGCTGGACGCGGCTGCGCCCCTGGTCCAGATCAGGCTTCAGGGCTGCTCCAAGCATTTCCCACAGCAGGAAGGCTCAGCGAGGAAGTGCCCTTGAGCCTGATCTCTGCTCATACCTTCAAGAAACTGGTCCAGCGCATGGTTTGTGTAACAAACCACCAGGCATGGGGTACGATCCTGGTTCCAGAGTGCCTGATTGTCCAACAGGACCTCCAAAAGCTTCAGTCCAATAAACGTTTTACCTGAAAGGAAACCACCACACATGCCTTTGCTGCCCTCATCTGAACAGAAATCTAGAAACCCCCCCAAAACACACACACACACACACACACAGAGGCGTCCCACAGCTGTTTGGAAACCCAAGCATTGTTACGGCCCTTCTTTCGAAGGAGGCCAGGCCCTTCTCCAAGGCTTGTGCTTAGTCTGGACCGCGAGAGGTTAGCAGTGCCCGCATGCTTGGTTGGTCCAAAGACCATCACCACCACCCCACCCTCCTCACCTGTCCCAGGTGGGCCCTGGATCAGGGCAAACTCTGTGCTCAAAGCCATCCGAAGGGCGGAGATCTGAGATTCATCCAGGTGTGGAAACAGCCTCGGAGTCCAGAGGTGAGCGTTTAAAGGGCTCACAGCAGAGAGATCCACCAGAGGCACCTCCACCTGCAGCCAAGAACCACACGGGCTTCGTCGTTCCCTCCTTCCTTATGACAGATGGCAGCACTGCCCCGGCCCCAATCCTGCGCAGGAACTGCTCCAGTTGGGATCTTGCTGGGTGCAACTAGCGGCTACCCCATTGCCAACTGTGTCTCCCTTTCCCTGGGGCTGCAGGCATGTCATGGGCAGCTGCACCCCTCCCAGCTCTCTCGCGGTGCCCACACCCTTTCTCAGGGTGCTGGTTGTCCCCCAGCAGCCCACAAAGAAGGCCACCCCCATCTCCACGAAGGCCAAGACCTCCAGGCCAAGATGTTACTCTGGCTTTTGGTGTCCTTGGAAGGAAACCACTGGAAATTATGCCACGTTTGGGACACATATTCTGGCACAGATGTGAATATTTAGATGGTTGCCATAAGGCTCCCGCAGATGATTTTGGTTCCCCTTAAGTGTTTGGGGCAGGGGCTTCTGGCCGCCCTCTCGTGTGTCGGATGAGGCCCCCCTCCCCGCCTATTGCAACTTCTGAAAACCACAAGCGGAGCACCTTCCTGCTGAAGAGGCCGAGGCCAACGGGGCGAATCCTTGTGGACGAGCGAGAGGGTCTGGCCAGCCTCCAAACCCCACTCTGGGCTCGGGGGGGGGAAGGTCTGTGTTCCAGCCGGGAAAGAGGCCCACGGGGGGCTCTGGATGATCTTCGGAGTCCGGGCCTGGCAAGTCAGGAGGTGGGCCCAAACGGAACTCCCCTGGCAGGCTGCAGTCCCCACTCTCTTCCCCCAGGCCGGGGCACCACAGAAGAAGCAGGAGCCATTGGGCACCAGCCCCCGAAGGGGTCGCCAGCACGGGTCGGCCTGGACAGCTGGCGCTGCTGGGCTCCTTGCTGCCCTGCTGGCAGGACAGAGGGCAGGGGCTGGGTTTCCCAGGGACCACCAGAGACCCTTGGAGTCCCCGGGACGTTAGTCAAAGGCGGAGCACGGAAGCAGAAGCCAGGTCTGCCCAGCGGGGCTGGAACCTGGGACATCTGTCGTCACACCTTTGGTTTTTGAAGGTGGGGGGGGGAACTCGCCAGTTGGCTCCTCACTTGGTGAGATTACCAGTCTTTGGAAGTTTTCTGCATTTTTGGCAAAACAACCCCCTCTCACAATAAATACAAACCTGTAATTTCTTTTTTTTTTACAAAGAGAGACTGTTTTTCACAGAAAACTTCCTATTTTACACAGAAAATCTTGAACTTTCAGGCAAAAGACAAGTTCTGTGTGCAACACCAGCCCTTTCCCCCTATAGGGTACCCCAGTGTGTTGGAACATCCTTTTGCCTCAAGAGACCTCGCTGGGGCCCTTTTGACCTGGGGAAAGCCCCCCCCCCTTTCCTGTCAGTAGCCCGGAGAATCTTGTGGCCCCCTCCCCCCTCCTCACAGCTGAGCGGGACTATTCAGGGCACCTATTGTGAGTGACACAGTGTGTGGGTTCCAGAGAGACCAGCGTGTGTGTGTTTAGTCGTTTAGTCGTGTCCGACTCTTCGTGACCCCATGGACCAGAGCACGCCAGGCCCTCCTGTCTTCTACTGCCTCCCGGAGTTGTGTCAGGTTCATGTTGGTTGCTTCGCAGACACTGTCCAGCCATCTCATCCTCGGTCGTCCCCTTCTCCTCTTGCCATCACACCTTCCTAACATCAAGGTTTTTTCCAAGGACTCTTTTCTTCTCATGAGATGGCCAAAGTACTGGAGCCTCAGCTTCAGGATCTGTCCTTCAAGTGAGCATTCAGGGTTGATTTCCTTTAGAACTGATAGGTTTGTTCTCATTGCAGTCCAGGGGATTCTCAAGAGCCGCCT